GGGGGAGCCCGGGGAGCACCGGGCTGCACTCACACGGGTGCACACACATGGGTGCACACGCGTGTCCCTGCCTGCACACACACAGGGGTGCGCGCGCACGGGTGCACACGCATGTCCTTCACTTGCACACACACACGGGTGCACATGCATGTTCCTGCCTGCACACACATAGGGGTGCACACACACGGGTGCACACACACAGGTGCACACACATTACCCTGCCTGCACACACGGATGTGGGTGCATGCACACGGGTGCACACACACGTGTCCCTGCCTGCACACACGGACATGGGTGCATGCACACGAGTGCACACACACGTGTCCCTGCCTGCACACACGGACATGGGTGCATGCACACAGGTGCACACACACATGTCGCTGTCTGCACACACGGACATGCGCGCACACACCCCCGGGTGCACACCCACATGTCCCTGCTTGCACATAAGGACATGGGTGCATGCACACGGGTGCACACCCCCGTGTCCCTGCCTGCACACACACACGGGCGCACCCCCCCGGGTGCACACACTCTCCCGGGCACACTCACGCCATCCCGCACCGCACCCCAGGGCCCCGGGTGCTGCCGGGAGAGGCCCCAGCCCAGCCGCCTCCACAGGTGCCGACAGTGACCGGACTGGGCCTCTCTCCCTGACTCCGGGCTCGGTGGCCGCACGGCCACCGTCTCACGCGGGCATCGCCCTCCCGCCCGGCCGGGGACACGCAGGGTGGGTGCCCAGTGCCCACGGCCCCCCGTGCCGGTGCCGGGCCCCGCTGCGGCAGGGTGCAGCTGGCCGGAAGCAGGAGGGCCCGCTGCCATCGGCGCTGCTGACGAGGAGGCAATTTTTGGAAGGGCCGGGGCTTCCCAGCCGGCTCTGGAAATGCTGCAGACTCAGGATTTCGTTCTCTCCGCTTGGAAACGCGAGGGAAGCCTTGTGCAGCTCCTGCTGCCATTCAGCGGAGGACGGAGCGGCACGGCGTTTGCTTAGCGCAGCCGGAAGCAGGAGGGCCCGCTGCCATCGGCGCTGCTGACGAGGAGGCAATTTTTGGAAGGGCCGGGGCTTCCCAGCCGGCTCTGGAAATGCTGCAGACTCAGGATTTCGTTCTCTCCGCTTGGAAACGCGAGGGAAGCCTTGTGCAGCTCCTGCTGCCATTCAGCGGAGGACGGAGCGGCACGGCGTTTGCTTAGCGCAGCAAGGCAGAGCCCTTCGCAGCAGCCGGGGACCCGCAGCGGGGAGGGTGGGTGGCACGGGGCCCCTTCCCGGGCTGCGTCGCCAAGGATCGGTCCCTTCCCTGGGATGCAGTAACGGGAGGAGAAGGGGGCTACGGGGGTGTCACCGGGACGGGGACCTTGCACCACCGGGGCTCAACGCACGGCTGCTCCCAGCAGTCCCAACCCAGGAAAGGCACCGTGGCAGCCTTCGCTCACCACGTCCCAGCCCTCTGCGGAGAAACCGCGTGCGGGAACCCCGCTGCCGTCACCGGCGGGCGATGGCGCGGCGAGGGGGGCTTTGCTGTGGCCGGTGCGGGGGGACCCCTTGCCCCAGCCCTTCCAGCCAGCCCCGTCTCTGCTCCGCTCTGCAAACTTCCCCGGGCAAGCGGGTGCCAGCCCGCCGCCACCTCCCCCCCTCCGCCCCCCGCCCGGGGCAATCGCGGCTCTGGCTGGGGAGCAGGAGCACCCGCGTCCCCAGACGGGGCTCGCCGTGCGCGCCGCGGCGTGCAGAACCGGCGCCTGAAATAGGACAGACGTCATCCGCAGGCCTAGAAATCCTGCGCGGGCCGAGGCGGCCGGCTGGCTGCTGGAGCCGGGCTGGGAGAACCGGGAGCTGAGGAGCAGGGCTGGGGAACTGGGGGAACTGGGGGAACTGGGCTGCCTGCACCGCTGGCAGCCCCTGTGACAACCCTCAGCGCAGCTGACGCCCCGCGCTGGGTGCAGAAATGCCAGTTTCTGGGTGCAGAAATGATTTCTGGGTGCAGAAATGCCGATTTCTGGCTGTTCCCCGTACCAGGCGGTGGGACTGGGGAGGGGAGTGAGGGGACCAGCGCCGTCCCCTCCTCTCCAGAGCCATCTCGTCTCCATTTGCCCCCTGCTCCCCCCAAACCCGGTCCTTTCTCCCCGCCGTCGCCTTGCGCACCCCGGCAGCTCTCAGGAGAGGTCCCGGCACGGCCATGCTGCGCGGTGCTGAGCTCCCGGCGCGGCGAGCCTTCCCCCTGCCCCTCCATCCTGCGTCTCCCCGACAGGCTGTAATTAGCCCAGCGCACAGCTAAATTAGCCATGCCAACGTGTCCCACGCTGCCGGGCTGCGCCGCGGGCCGCGGGCGGCGGGGCGGCCGCTGGGGACGAGTGGAGAGATGCAAATACCGGGTTGTAAAAGCTGATCGCCGAGTCGAAGAAAACGGGGAAGCTGAGCCGCCGCCGCGGCCACCGGCGAGCTCCCGCGACCTTCCCGGAGCTTCCCGGCACGGCTCGGCCCGGCTTGGCCCAGCAGCACCCGGCGTGAGCTCCGCGTTCAGCTCTCCTCCTCCAGCGGCTGGCGGGCAGAGAGCAGAGATGTAATACCGCGTGCAATAAACCCAATTCTTCCCCATAAACCTGCTTGGGTTTTGGTATGAATTTCTCCTTGCTTTGATTTGTCTTGCTAAATA